TCTGGCTCTTTACAGAAAAAGCTTGGTAACCCCTACTTTAGAGGAACAGTCTTGCTCCCAAGGCCAGCCCCACCAGGTATACACTAGATCCCATTTCCTCTTGCCTACCGAAGAATGTGGCTTCAGCGGATCTTCTCTCACCCTCTTACATTAGCTGTTTTTCCCTGCGTATTGGGTCATTTCCTTCAGTGTATAAACATGCTGTGATTTCTTTCATCTCTCTTAATCCCATTTCCCCCTTTGACTACTACCTCGTTTCTCTGCTTCGTTTTACAACAGGACTTCTCAAAAATGTGTATTTACTGTTTCGATTTCTCTACTTCTCTTCCATGCTCTACTAGCATTGCTTTAGTCAAAGCCACCAGCAACATTCATAATATAAAAGTCATCAGTCAATTTAGCCCTCATTTGGTTTGACTTAAGAGCAGCATTTAACAGGGTTAATCTCTTTGTCCCTCTCCAGACTCTTTCTTCACTTGGTTTCCAGCACACCACATATCTTGGTTTTCTTTATTTTCTGTTATGTCACTTTTTTTCAGTCTCCTTTGTAGGTTTCTCTTATTTTCTCCAAAATTTCATTATTGGAATGCCCAAGTTTCAGTCCTTAAACTTCTTTTCTATACACACTCATTCTCTTGGTAAATTCCTCCACCATCATTTATTATATCTTCAGCCTGGACCTTTTGCCTGAATTCCAAACTTATATGTCTAACCACCTATTTATTTAACACTTAACTTAACTACTGATTTTCCCCCCAAACTTTCTACTTCTACAGTCTTCCTATCTCAGTTAATGACAATTTCATCCTTCTATGTGCTTAGGCCAAAAACATTAGAATCATTGTCAACTCCTCTTTCTCCAACACTCCATATCCTGTGCCTCAAGAGACTCTGTCACCATTTAAAATATATTATCTGGCCATTTCTTACCACCTCTATTACTGCCACTCTGGCATAATTCACATTGTCTTTTACCTGTAATAAGAGCTTTTGAATTGGTCTTTCTGCTTCCATCTTTGCCCCCTGCCCTTTTCTGTTTATACTGAACACAGTAGCTAGAAAGTTCTTTTAAATGTAAGTTAGATCATTCACTCCTGTCCTCAAAGACCTCCATTGTCCCTCCGTTTTATTCAGAATAATACTCAAAACCCTTTGCAGTCTAGCCATCACCTACTACCCTCCTATTCATTTATGCCACTCCAGTGACACCAGCCTTCTTCCTATTCCTTCAATATGCCAGGGACATTCCTGCCTAGCATACTATCTCCCCCATATCTGCGTAGCCCCCATCGTAGTCATTGCTCCAATGTTATCTTCTCATCAATTATACCACTCAAAATTGAACCTGCATTTCCCATACCTCACATCCCTCTAACCTTTTTTTTAATCCAAGCATTTAATATCATCTAACATAATGTATAGTTTATTATGCTTGTTGTTTCATTGTCATTCCCTACCCACTAGAATGTAAGCTTTACAAAGGCAGAGATTTTAGTCTGTGTTTTCCATTGATGCAGTCCAGTGCCTAGAACAATATCTGGCATACAACAGGCCTCAGTAAATATTTGTTAAATGAACGTGTTCTGGTTTTAGATCTGACACTAATTTGCTAGGTGACTCTGGGCAAATATATAACCTCTTTGGTCTCTGTTTCATCATCTGGAAATTAGTAGATTAAAATAAATTATCTCTGAATTTTATACACTTGCTAAAACTCAATGTTTCCACAAGTGAAAGATATAAACTGTTTCCAGAAGCAAATATTTTCTAATTATTTGGAGAACTGCTATTTATAATGCAATTTCGAAATATAGGTTAAAGATGGTTTTGAAAATGTTGCAACTGAGTTAGCAAAAAGCAAACACGCTCTCGTTTGGGCTCAACGAAAAGAAAATGAGTCTTCCTCTTTAATTAAAGATCTGACCTGTATGGTGAAGGAACAAAAAACAAAACTCGCAGAAGTTTCTAAATTGAAACAGGAAACAGCAGCAAATTTACAGGTAAGACTTTGTAACATACTTCCTTTTTAATTTTTTATATTGTTTTCTCAAGTGTGTTGTGATGATTTTAGGAAGTTCACAAGAGGAACTTTTATATGATACTAATTATATGTTGTGATGTGCATAAGAAAAGTAGTATAAGGAAATTAAAGTCATAATTTTGCAGATCACATTGTTTACGTTAAGATAGTATTTAAGTAAAATAAGTGAATTAATTTCAAGAAACATGTTAATTAAGTAGGTGCCAGTTGTATGGTGATACAACAAATATTGTGAAGGTGATATAATTTTTTGAGAAATACCACTTGGATTGCTGATATTTTGTGGTGGTGGTACTAGTGGATATATTTAGATATACTTAGCTATAATAATTTTTAAATTAATGTCTTTATTGCTATTACCTCGATTATAAAAATTAGTGTTCTTTTACCCAAAATTATTTTTAAAAAGTGATTTTTAGACTATGGATACAAATGCTTGGTGAGAAATTTTGAGTGTTAAAAGCATAGTTGCTCTTTTACAATTTTAGACTAAAATTTAGAATGTTTAAAAGAGTGGCCTCTTAAAATTTGACTTTATTTCATTACCTGCATTTAACTTGAGTTAATAAAATTAAAACTTCTATTGTAAAATTTGGCAATATTTACTTTGTATTTGCTTAAATAACATTTTTCTCATAAAATGCAAAAAAAAAAGAAAAGAAAGAAGTGATTAAGTACTTTGCTTTTTCTTTCAATTTTTTGATATACAGAATCAAATCAACACCATTGAAATTTTAATTGAAGATGACAAGCAAAAGAGTATTCAAATAGAACTTCTAAAGCATGAAAAAATCCAGCTTATTTCCGAGCTAGCAGCCAAGGAATCACTAATTTTTGGTTTAAGGACTGAAAGAAAAGTATGGGGACATGAGCTGGCACAACAGGGTAAAATTTTCAGATTTTCAAAGAGAAAATAGCTTATTCTTAAAAACCAACGAATCAGAGTATTGGAGAAAACCAAACAGGAAGAAATTAACTCTGCCTAAAGATGCCAAGAAAAATGGTGACACTTTATCTGAAAGGATAAGTAGGCATTTTCCAGCCAAACAGAAATGAAGTCCTCTTAGGAAATGGGAAATAATTTATTACACCATTTAACAAGTTATAGTTCTGATTTTTTTTTTATTGTTTTCTTCCCATGATAATTTGGCCACCTTTCTGAACTACCTATTGCTACTGCTAAGTAAATTGTTAAAAATAATTCTTTCTTATACAGTGTTTTTAAGTTATTTATACAGTATGCAACATTCAGTTTTTTCTCACTTATTTGTAACATTTTATTGTGCATGCAGAAATGTAAAATAGTGTATGGATGAAAAACATTTCAGGTTTAGGTAAACTCTTAGTCTCATTTCTTTCTAATCATTGTAAAGTAAGAGATATACACTGTTTTATGGCATTCATTAAAAATTATGAATAGCTAGATGTTGGTCTTAAAGGAGCATGCTCATTCTTTGTAGGAATTTTTAATATGATTTTTTTGTTTGAATGCCATAACATGAATTAAGTATTATATATCTGAGTTATTTGTTCTTGACTTTATTGGTGGTTTTAGGTCTTTAAATAGCTACAAGTGTTTAGAAGGCCTTTTTGTTCATTACTTCTTTCCTCTTCATATTGTAGCATTATATGCTTTGTTTCTTTATTCAGTTCTTTTAATTTACTATATTATACATTGTTAAATTAGATTTTCATAAAATACAAGACCCCCAAGGTATATTAAAGTTTGTAACTGATGATATTTTTTTCTTAGGGTCTTCTCTAGCCCAAAATCGTGGAAAATTGGAGGCCCAAATTGAAAGTTTATGTAAAGAGAATGAATCTCTGCGAAAGGAAAATGAAAGTAATTGCAATACATTAAGAATAAAGAGCAAAATCATAGAAGACCAAACTCAAACCATTAGAAAACTAAAAGATGTAAGTTTTGACATTTTATTTTGGTTACAGAACAAATGGCAGGTTTGAAAATCTGATTTGTTTCAATGTTCCCCAACTGTTGTAGAATTTAGGATAGGCTATCAATGTACTTCCGTTTATAGTATTTGCCCATTTGCTCTTAAAAGTTTTACATGATATTTATTAATATTAACTTGAAACAAATTTTACTTCACAGCTTTATGGAGAATTTTATTGTGGCCTTTGGAATAACTCGAAATACTCAGTGTCAGTAAAAGATTAGGGATCACAAGAAAATTAGCATTTTATGTATTTAAAACATCCTTTTAAAGGATAATTTAAATCATATCTAATTAAGCAGAATATGAGATACTTAAGGTTAATAGAAATAAAGTACTGATTTTTTTTTTCTTGAAGTGTTTACAAGAAAAAGATGAACACATCAAGAGATTACAAGAAAAGATCACTGAAGTAGAAAAATGTACTCAAGAACAACTTGACGAAAAATGTACACAGCTGGATAATGTACTTGAGAAATTGGAAAAACACAATGAAAGGAAAGAAAAATTAAAACAACAGTTGAAAGTAAAGGAAGTAGAACTTGAAGAAATTAGAAAAGCTTACAGGTATTATACAGTATTTCCCACTGCGAAATAAAATGTGACTTAATGATTTCATATACCCAATTTACTTTTAAAATTTCTTCTCATATTAGTACACTTAATCAGAAGTGGCACGATAAAGGAGAACTTCTGTGTCATCTTGAAACACAAGTAAAAGAAGTGAAAGAAAAATTTGAAAACAAGGAAAGGAAACTTAAAGCAGAAAGAGACAAAAGTATTGAACTACAAAAGTAAGCATTAAGTCCTAAAGGATGTGGGATCTTTTTAATCATAAATACTGTGGGATGGGTGACATATGTATAAAGAAAGAGGAGCTAAAAAACATAGAGGACATAGTTATTTGCCAAGAACTTTATTTCCATTCCATCTATAAAATGAAGATAGTAATAGTTCCTACCTTAAATGTAGATATAAGATTGAAATTTTATGTGTATGTGTATTTATGAATATATATGGCTTATATGAATTATATAGTTCTTAGAACAGTGCCTGATACATAATAATTGCTATATGAGCATTTTGTTTTTATTGCTATGGTATTGTTTCAAAACTGAATGCAGCTAGTGATATTTTAGTTGTGGTAAGTGGGATTTAGTGTAGAAAGTCAGGGCTACCAGGGTCATTGAGCTTCCAAAGAGGCTGGAACAGATTTAGATAGCAGTTGCCAGCACGAGCTGAGGATGAGAGCTAATTTTAAAGGAAGGAAAGAAAATGTGTTCCTGGCTGCCTTTGTTGTCTGGATTCCGTAAAATACTCAAGAGGAAATAAGGTTTTACCTTGTAAACTGTATAACTAGACTTGTAAAAAGAATTTATAAAATTGAGGTACCTTGAAAAACAGGCAGGATAGTTTAATGATCAGTTCTCATGCCCAGGTAAAGAGGGATATAGATAGCATGTGGCTAGCCCAGAAACCTCATGTAGCAGTAGGTTCTTATTATATCCAACCTAATAGGACCTGAGATTTGATTTCCTAAGTTCTAACTCAGTGTAATAGAAAAATGTTGTTATAGTCTACACAAAGTTTTGGTTGATAGTACGGTTACTTGTTTGTTAACAGACCCTGTTCCACTTTGCTTTCAACCAAGCACTAATAGAGGGACCTTTGCTTGGAACCTGTTCCAATTTTCTATCCTGCCAGTAACAACTTTACAATTAGGAGTCTTTCAGATACTAAAAGAAACAATCGTTTTCTATAATTAGCAAAAACCTAATAAAACTTACAAAGCCTAACAATTTTAGCATCTTTTACATTGCATTGTTCATGTCATTAATAACAAAATGATGCAGACCTGATTTTTTACATTAATGCCTTCATGACTAAGATGGGTATATATAATTTTTAATTTAATGGAATTGTAACAAAATAAGCAAATTATTGTTAATAGGTTTTATTTGTATAGGTTTTTATAAGTTATAAATTGATTTTCTATCTTATTTTGAACATAACAGTAATTCTGTAAGATTGGCAGGACAGGCAGGATTATCCTGTTTGATAGTTGAAAAACTTTAACTCAGAGTTTGTGACGTGCCCCTAGTCAACATGGCTACTGAGTGATGCGATAAAAGAATGGCTTTTGATTCATGGTCCTTATGTTCAACCTGTTATTACTGTGGGCTATACCACAACCAGAAAATGTGTTCATTATATAGACTTTACTTTTTTTTTTTTTGAGACAGTCTCACTCTGTTTCCTGGGCTAGAGTGCCGTGGCGTCAGCCTAGCTCACCACAACCTCAAATTCCGGGGCTCAAGCGATCCTTCTGCCTCAGTCTCGCGAGTAGCTGGGACTACAGGCATGCACCACCATGCCCGGCTAATTTTTTCTGTATGTTTTTAGTTGTCCAGCCAATTTCTTTCTATTTTTAGTAGAGATGGGATCTCGCTGTTGCTCAGTCTGGTCTTGAACTCCTGAGCTCAAACAATCTGCCCGCCTCAGCCTCCCAGAGTGCTAGGATTGTAAGCCACCTCACCGGGCCTAGACTTTACTTTTTTAATAGCATTGTTCATGTTTACATAAAGGAATTGGTGTTTTGCCTCTAAGATACTTTAAGCACTAAAATCTTGTGAGTAGCATTTAATGTGTTTTATCTGTTAAGCATTATCATTAGGAAATCAGAAATACATGTTCGTAAACTTAAACCCTCCTGTAATACAATCTTCTCAAACTATTACATTGCAAATACATGTAGGGAAAAAGATTGATAGTAGTCATCTGTGAAGGTACTTATAAAATATACTTGGACTCAAAATAAATGGAGAAACAGAGTACTCTAACTTTCAAAGCATGAAAGTGTTAACAACCCTCAGTAATATTACCCTAGCCTAATCTGTTACCCTAATAGATTCTGCTGGATGGCGAACTACTTATATCTTTAGTTACCTTATAATAGCCCGTTGATATTTTCATAATACTGAGTTATGTTTCCATTAAAGTATGAATGTAAGAACTGCCATCTAAGAAGTAACATCTAATTAATTTATTAATACACACACACACACCACATATACACATTTATTTGTGGGTGTTTTTTATTTTTTTAAGGGATGCAGTAGAAAAGCTTCATAGTATGGATGATGCCTTTAAAAAACAAGTTGATGCAATTATTGAAGCTCATCGAGCTGAAATTAAACAACTGGCAAGTGACAAACAAAAATGTATTGATTCTGCAAATTTAAAGGTACTGTAAGTAAAATTTACTTTGATAATCAGTTTTAAATGGTTATAACTAAATAAATTAGATCTTTTGAGAATTATAAAGAAAAAAGGTAGCATGATTTCATGACCAAACAGATATGAAGGATGTTGCCAAAACTATCATGAAACCAGGCTAACATGTTGGTAATACTTAGATTAATTGTAGAACATAATTCTAATGAAACCAAAACCGTAAGTTTGAGTCTGGTGTTCACCTACTCCATGATCACTAGATAAAAATTTGCATATCTAACCAATCTCAGAAGTCTGTTTGGCTGCACATAGGCAGCATGAGAATGTGAATGTATTAAAGATAATCCATCACTACCTTGGAAAAGGTTGTCAGAGAGTTCTTTTTTTTCCACTCCCAGGCTAAAGTAATCCTCCTGCCTCAGGCCCCCAAGTAGCTGGGCACTACAGGTGTGTACCACCACACCTGGCTAATTTTTCTATTTTTTTGTAGAGACAAGGTCTTACTATGTTCCTCAGGCTGGCCTCAAGCAGTCCTCCCGCCGTGGCCTCCCAAAGTTCAAGGATTACAGGAATGAGCCACCCTGCCCAGCCTACTTTATTATTAATTAAGATTTAAGACTATCAGCTTTACTGTCTTGATATTATTGACAAAGTAATGAGTGTAGGGTGATGCTAAATTAGGGACAAACATCAGAATCACCTATGAAGCTTTTTAATAATACACATTCATGAGCTTCCCCTTAGAGACTTACATTCACTAAATCTGAGGTCAGACCCAGGTATTTTTAAAATTCCACACGTGATTCTGATGTGACACCTCTATTGAGATCCACTACATTAGGGAATAATTGTGAATTTCCATTTTTTCCTGATTTTGAAGTAGTAATAAGAAACTAAGGTATCCGTAAGATAAGAGATCCAGAAATCAACAACTGGAAAAGAGTTCAACAACAGAAACTAATGTTCCATATAGAAATTATAATCAAGGTATGTGTTTAAATGACATTATGTTCCAGATTCTATGCAAAGAAAGAGGGAATAAGGTCTTTGGAAATAATCACAGTGAATTAGGAAGTATAACTTGTCCAAAATTTAGTTATTTCATTTAAAGTCAACAGATACTTCATATGTTTTATTTAAAATCTACCAAATATTTAACAAGGATACATCAGGTAATACTAAATAGAGTTTAAGATTAGGCCCTTAGCTGAAAGCAAAATACTGAGTTGAGTGTTGGACTTCCTGCCAATATGAAGTAATAGCAAATGAAAGTGTTTGTTAAAGATTTGAAGAAATAGCACCAGATTTTAAATATGACAATCAGGTATGAGTGCAGGGGAGGATTCTGAGGTATCACTTAGAGGTGATTATTTAAATTAGGAGAAATATTTGTTTTCTTACAAAAAAGAGATTAGGATATCTATATTAGGGATTAGGAAGAGTGAAGTAAACAGAAAAAGATGGTCATGTTGGTGGTATCAGGAGTGTTGTGGTATAGTAGGAAAAAGGATTTCAGGCAGAAGTAAATACCAAAAACAGAGAATCCTAGGAGAATGTAGGTTAGGAATAAATGATAAAATGATCTCTCAAAAAGATGGTAATATATAACCCCAAACAGCACTTTTAGAAGTGAAGTAGGCACTATATTAAAGAGAGGGTTTCTTTGAGGAGGGAGGTTATTATTTCAATTTTGGACATCTGTTAGGAACTGGTGTTTAAATTGAACTTGTGACTCGGCATTCATAAGCAGCATGGGACAGTAGAATTAAGTCAGAAGATTGAGTTTCTCTCCTAGCTGTGATTATATAGAAACTGCACAGCCATAAACAAATTTTCTAAGCTCTAAAATAGAGTTGAAATATATTGCTACGTCTTTTTCACAAGAACGGTATTAGAACTAAGTAGATAATATATGTGAAAGTACTTTGTATATTATGTACACATTGTATTTTTCCTATTAGCATTTGAACAGGTTACATTTTACTAACTCATTGTTTTAAATGAATCACAAATTTCAAAATGCATGAGAATAAATGCTTGACTTTTTTCTTTCAGAATGCATTTTTAAAATACATTTTCTTTAAGAAATTAAAATGTAAAATTTACATGTTGATTTAGGTTCATCAAATTGAAGAAGAAATGCGTGGACTTCTGGAAGAAACATGCAAAAACAAAAAAACAATGGAAGCAAAAATTAAGCAACTTGCTTTTGCTCTAAACGAAATTCAGCAGGATATGTGATGGTTCTGAGAATGAATTTAATTGAAATGGACCAGCAGACCTATTGTAAAAATGATTAAATATTGTAATAGTAGTAACTGCTATGACTTTGAAATGTCTCTTTCTACACATTTTATTATGAATATTTTTTAAAAGACTTTTGATCA